GATGGATTTTCAGGTTTCTATATCAAAATCTACAAGTTTCTCCTTCATTTTTGTTTTATCTACTAAACAAGCCATAGCATTTGACAGTCTAGATTTTGAAGATTTCAGTTCATTGTGTTTTCTGCTTTTTGCATTTTGTACAAATTAGTAACTGGACCCAGAGACTAACTCAGACCCAGATTCTATCCCGATGTCACCTGAAGCTGGTGTGTTGTTTGTTGGGAAGTACATACTGTCTGGGATGTTAGCAGCTGTGGATGTTCATTACCTGAATTCACTGGGGATTGTACAATGGTGATTTGTAATTTTGTAACTGATTTTCATTCAGTTACTGGTTAAATAGTTTAGGAAGAGTAGTACAAATGTTTGATTCTTTTTCCTTCTTTACCAGTTTTCAGAATTTTAAAAATATTGCTTTCTTTTTAATATAATGATAAATACATGTCCAATATATTTAATGGACTTCAATAAATTATAATCATAACCCTTTTTGAAGTTCAGGTTGTTCCATTTTTGGTCAGTGGAAACCTTTTCAGGTTGGCTTCTGAAATCTTTTTTCGATTGATCTTGTAGTTGTAAATAGTATTCATGCCATTTGGTATGACAAAATGTTTCATATTCATTTTAAAGATTTCCTAAACACAGCCTAGAATCAGATTTTAGGTGTACCCCTGGGTGCTAGGGGTACATTCTGGGTGGGCTGTCCTTGCTAGGTCCTTTCCATGAACAAAGTAGGAATACAGATCCACTAAGTGTGTGTATATGTGCGTGTGTGCACGCGCACATCTTAGGGATACTTCATCACCTATTTCTGCTGTAAATGTCATAGGTTTCTAGATTTGCCATATAGTTGCTCTGTTTTATTGTCATTTTATATGCACACTTGGAGAGATTAAAAAAAATTGCTGCTCCTATTGCCAGTTTTCTAGAATCACATCTACCTATTTTTCACCAAAATTTTATGACAAATATCTTTTTCTCTAAATTTAGGGGTAACTCTGTATGTTAATCAAGAGCCCATTTGCCATGTAGTCAGTCAATGTTCTTTAGGACCCTAGTTGATCATGACCCTTAGGTTCACTCTGTTGGGACTCTTCATGAATTAGTGTTGAAATTTTGATACATTAATTCTCTATTAGAAAATGGACCTTTGTTCACATCTTCATTCTTTCCAGCCAATTCTGTTTCATTCCTTTAATGATTGGACAGAGTCACAATGACCTGCCCTTGCCACTCTTCATATAGGCAGTACAACAAACACCAAAGATAGTCAACACCTGTGCTCCACCAAAAAGGTTATCCTGCTGGTTTAGATCTTGTACTAGACTTGACTCTGAATGCACTTGGTGCATTTCTAGCATTCGGACCCATCCTCAATATGAGATTTGGCAACTTTTTAGAATATATTGTCAAGGATGAGCTATAGTTGCTGAAGACAACACCCAAACAGGATATGGGCATTTTGGAGTCGTTACACCCATGCCCACAAAAATAAATATTTTAACATAGAAAAGGGAAGTGTTTTACTTCAGGTAAGACATAAAAAGAAAATTTCTTTCATAATGTCTCTAAGACTCATTGAATTTTGCAACTGCAGATATAAAGCTATTTAGCTATGTTCCCGGAGTAAATGATCTGAACTAGGCACATTCCTTTATGATCCCATTCACAGAATAAAATATTGAACGTTATTAAAGAATTCTATTTTATTGTTCGGTGTTGAAATTTCTTTGGTTGACAACGTATGGACACTTGCACTCTGGTTATTTCTGAAATCTTGTTTCTTTTTAAAAGCATTTGTTTGTTTTATTGTTCAGTTTATTAGTTCTCAGTACCGGCTTGGCAGAATTGCCTAGATCTTTTTAAAAATACCAATGTCCTGGATTCAATCCCAGTATTTTGATTGAATAGGTCTGGGCCTAGATATCCAAGTTCTTTAACAGCTTACCGATGTTTTGAATGTGCAGTCTCACTTTGTCAGGTTGAGTTCATAAACCAGTGATCCTCATTATTAAGTTTAGCTGGTTTGCATTAGCACAAATACTAGTACTATTTCCTTTGAAGCATAGTTAAAAAGGAACCAGCACTAACAACCAAAGCTAAATAATTACACAAATTAATGCCAGTTCTGTTAAGCCTGGCATCTACATGTAAATTTAGCCCAAAGAACAAAACAGATTAAAGCCACAGAGCCAGAACTTGAACTAGGATCTCTAATGGAGATTAATATTTTCTTCAGCAGTCTGCCAGCTGAATCATGGTCTAATTAAATAGTTCAGATTTAGTGAGTTTGCATTTAAAGTATTAGCAGATCGGAGAATGGGTAAAGCTAAAATGAGTTAGAATCTTTTCTGTAAATGGGAAGTTAAATTATCATAGTAATTTGATTAAATCATTTTTAAATCTCTCAAGCTAAATCACAGCCTTTAAAGAATAGTTTGAAGTCTTAATTGCTGTTTGTGAGCATATCTCTCTGCTATTTGTTCTCGCCTCATTTCCTGTGACATCCTCTAATATATCTCCTGCTGAGCAGAGTAGTGGGAAAGGCAAGGCTCAGGGTGTGGGCTGAGGTGACTGTTGCTGACTTTAAGCATTTTAAGGTTCTCTCATATAGAAAAGGGGAGTCTCTCCTGGATCATTCCAGTACTTAGAGCCAGGACTTGAGGAAGGAATTTGGAAAGATTTGGAAATAGACATATGAGGAAGAGGTTTCTAATAATTAGTTTTTTTCTCTTGTCAAGTAGAATATTCTACATATACCTGGGAATGTTCTTGCTATGAGAGTTGTAGAGAACACTGCTGATGAAGATGGAAGTTTCAATAAAATGAGCTCAGAGGTTAATTGCATCTCATTTTTTTTTTTTACAAAAGGAAATGGTAATGTCAGTGTTATACATTCCAGCAACATAATTTTTATTCAAAGAAAAACAAGTTTAAGGTGAACTCCGACACAGTATCAGAGATACCTAACTGGTGGGGCCATTAGTAGCTGAAATGGGGCAATGTTCAACTCCAAAGGGATGATAAATCTATGGCTTTTATTCTTTCTTTGATTCTAGTTGGAAAATATTTATTTCATTTTACTTTTACTTTGTCTCTAATGAATGTAATTCTCATCTTCCCCCTCCATCTGTCATCCTGTTTTTCCATGTAAATGGCTAACCTACAGTCCCAGGACAGGTTAGATAAATTCATTTAATCTCTATTTTTTTATGTATAAGGTGTTTATTGCCTTTTATATACCTAGAGATTGAGTATGTCTGTGCCCTGTCCCGATTTTTCTTTCTGGCGGCATTTAAGTACAAAAATAGAAAAAAAAAAGAAAAAATATATGAGAGTACATGTCTTCACACCTCCATGACTGTGCTTTCATTGCTAACTTTACGGACACTTAGGGACTTCAGAACCCATCCATGCTGGCTTCTCAAAGAGGACACTAAGGGAGGTGGATGAGCTTGCCATATGGATAGGAGCCAGACTGGAGAAAAGCCTAAGTGTACTGTTGGTGAGGTCCCCAGACTTGGTTCAACGCTCTTCCACACTTTGAAGGATTCCATTTTTTTATCTGTTTACTTTACTCTACCAAGCAGAAATTATATCTTGAGCAGTAAGTAGTGAAAACAACTATATTCCATATTATTAAAATTCTTTTACAGAAATATGTCATTAATTGTTGTTATGCAAACAGGGACCAATTCACCAATTATGTGGTGAAATGATTCAAAATGACAGCACTGACGAAAAACAACGAACAAAATGCACAGAAGTTGAAAAAAAACCACGTGTTACCTCTTATAGCCATCTTTCTTTTAATGACTTTGCCTGTTTCTTTTTTATTATATGTTTAGCCACTTGATTTTAAATTATGTTTCCTCTCTTTTCGTTCCGTTTTTGCCTATAATTGAATTGTATGAAAGATTGGGCTAACTACATATATCTTAGAGCTCAGCGTTCTCAGAGAACTAGAATTATTAAACATGAAGAATCCCCCAAAGACTCCATTATGTGTAATTAACAGATAAACTGTCATCAGAATCAATAAAACGTGCTAAATGATTCAAACTTGTATATAATTAAGTGTCTGTTTTAGCGCTTGAGCTGTAACTTTTATTTTTCCCCCCACATCTCACATTTCTCCCAAGAAGAATTGTGGCAACCTTGTTAACCCTTTCTTTGCCCGATTGAATTAGATTTTCAAATTAGTCAGCTCAGGGGCAAAGTTCACCTTCACAAATGTGAAAAAAAATATTTCACAACTCAGTAACCTAAAGACACCATTTGTTTTTCAGCAGGAAGATGGGGAGTATGTAAGGATGCTTTAATGAACTGTTACTAGTACATTAGAAATCCTGAAAGGAAAAAGAATTTATTGTGATTGCGATATAGTGCTAGATTCAATGTATTCACATGGAGTTGTTAATTAAGATCTTAGTCATCAACTTTTTCCCCTCTGGGAAATATGAGCTTTTTACAGACAAGATGGAGATTTTAAACAACTTCATCTCAGATGGCACTTAGAATAACACTTTGAATAGATGACCTCCCACCATTTTTTGTTGAATGAATGAATAGCTGAATAAGACAACGAATAAAATAGCTGAGATTGTAATCTGTTAATAGGAAATTTTGTCTTATTCAGTCTTAAGAGGTTAAAAAAACAAAAACAAAATCACAGACAAGATTAACTAATAATCTTTTAGAATCATCCCCATATTCTATTCTAGTGTAGAAAATTACTGTAGTAAAATTTAGGAAAAGAAAACATATTTTTAGATATGTGAGACTCTGAACAAATCACAGCTTTGACTTTAGAGAAGTATAAGAGTACAATTTGTTAGTATTTTGTTGAGAATTTTTGTATTGATGCTCACCAGGGATATTGGTATATATTTTTCCTTGTGTCCTTGTTTGGTTCTAGTGTCTATTTAACTTTTTATAATTTTAAGCTGCAAAGGCTTATTATTCACATGATTATTTGTATGTTTTGCTTCCTTGCACAGACTCCATGCACATAGAAGATGTGGAAGCCGTTCAGAAGCTTCAGGATGTCTTACATGAGGCCCTGCAGGATTATGAGGCTGGCCAGCACATGGAAGACCCTCGCCGAGCTGGCAAGATGCTAATGACGCTCCCGCTCTTGAGGCAGACGTCCACCAAGGCTGTGCAGCATTTCTACAACATCAAACTGGAAGGCAAAGTCCCCATGCACAAACTTTTTTTGGAAATGCTGGAGGCCAAGGTCTGACTAAAAGCTTCCTGGGCCTTCCCATCCTGCACGTTGAAAAAGGGAAAATCAACACGAGAGTGATGTCGAAGAAACTTAGAATTTAGTTACCAACATCAGAAACCAACACAGACTGCACTGATATTTTAGCAGCAAGACTTTGAAGCAGCTTTCAGATTCCTCCATATCTTCCGGATGCATTTCTTTCTACTTTTATCTCTCATCCCTTCACTCTCTTTTCTTTCTTTTTTTTCCTTTTCATATCTCTTCCTCTTTATGTTTTTCTCCCTCCCTTCTTTCCCCTGTCTCTCATTTCTTGACTTCCTTCATTACTGAGTCTTTCTCTCCCTCATTTCCTTCCTTCCTTATCATTTCTTCTCCTGCTTCCTCTCTTTTCTCATCCTCTTGTTTTATTCTACAATTTAAATAGCTCTAATAGTAAGGAAAATTTCCTGCCTTCCTCCTCCCCTATCACCTCCTCTCCTTCTTTCTTTTCTCATTTCCTCTCCTCTCTTTTCCTTCCTTCTGCTGCTAAACTTTTAAAAAGAGGTCTCTAACTGAAGAGAGATGGAAGCCAGCCCTGCCAAAGGATGGGGATCCATAATATGGATACCAGTGAACTTATTGTGAACCATAATGTCCCCAGTGACTAAGGAATCAAAGCGAGAGAACCAACATACCTAAAAGTACAGTGCAACAGAAGCGAATTGACTGAGTGCAGTATTAGATTTCATGGGAGCGGCCTCTAATTAGACAACTGAAGCAACGTGGCATCGGCTGCTTCTTATCATTGCTTTTCCATCTAGATCAGTTACAGCCATTTGATTCCTTAATTGTTTTTTCAAGTCTTCCAGGTATTTGTTAGTTTAGCTACTATGTAACTTTTTCAGGGAATAGTTTAAGCTTTATTCATTCATGCAATACTAAAGAGGAATAAGAATACTGCAATTTTGTGCTGGCTTTGAACAATTATGAACAATAATGAAGGACAAATGAATCCTGAAGGAAGATTTTTAAAAATGTTTTGTTTCTTCTTACAAATGGAGATTTTTTTGTACCAGCTTTACCACTTTTCAGCCATTTATTAATATGGGAATTTAACTTACTCAAGCAATAGTTGAAGGGAAGGTGCATATTATCACGGATGCAATTTATGTTGTGTGCCAGTCTGGTCCCAAACATCAATTTCTTAACATGAGCTCCAGTTTACCTAAATGTTCACTGACACCAAGGATTAGATTACACCTACAGTGACTCTGAGTAGTCACATATATAAGCATTGCACATGGAATACAGATCTGTAGAATTGTCACGATCACACTCTCTGCCTGGGAGGTAAAGTTGCCATAGGATTTCTAGCTGCCCTGGTGGTTAGGAATGAGATACTGCCTGTTTGCGAAGTTACAGACCTTGTCTTAGAAGGAGCTGTGAGCCAGTATTCATTTAAGTGGCAATAAGGCAGATGTCAGAATTTAAAAAATATATATATCTCAATCATAAAAAAAAATCATCAAAGACAGCAGACACCTGACCAAATTCTAAAACCCAATCCATACGAGTTTATTCATTTAGGAATGTTCATTTGTATTAATCTGCAGTTTTTACCAAGAGCTAAGCCAATATATGTGCTTTTCAACCAGTATTGTCACAGCATGAAAGTCAGTCAGGTTCCAGACTGTTAAGAGGTGTAATCTAATGAAAAAATCAATTAGATGCCCCCGAAATCCACAGTCGCCGAATAACCAATAAACAGTAACCTCCATCAAATGCTATACCAATGGACCAGTGTTAGTAGCTGCTCCCTGTATTATGTGAACAGTCTTATTCTATGTACACAGATGTAATTAAAATTGTAATCCTAACAAACAAAAGAAATGTAGTTCAGCTTTTCAATGTTTCATGTTTGCTGTGCTTTTCTGAATTTTATGTTGCATTCAAAGACTGTCCTCTTGTTCTTGTGGTGTTAGGATTCTTGTGGTGTGTGCTTTTAGACACAGGGTAGAATTAGAGACAATATTGGATGTACAATTCCTCAGGAGACTACAGTAGTATATTCTATTCCTTACCAGTAATAAGGTTCTTCCTAATAATAACTAAGAGATTGAAACTCCAAACAAGTATTCATTATGAACAGATACACATCAAAATCATAATAATATTTTCAAAACAAGGAATAATTTCTCTAATGGTTTATTATAGAATACCAATGTATAGCTTAGAAATAAAACTTTGAATATTTCAAGAATATAGATAAGTCTAATTTTTAAATGCTGTATATATGGCTTTCACTCAATCATCTCTCAGATGTTGTTATTAACTCGCTCTGTATTGTTGCGAAACTTTTTGGTGCGGACTCGTTTCCCAAACTATTGCTACTTTGTGTGCTTTAAACAAAATACCTTGGGTTGATATTTCATCAACCCAGTGCTAGGAATACTGTGTATCTATCATTAGCTATATGGGACTATATTGTAGATTGTGGTTTCTCAGTAGAGAAGTGACTGTAGTGTGATTCTAGATAAATCATCATTAGCAATTCATTCAGATGGTCAATAACTTGAAATTTATAGCTGTGATAGGAGTTCAGAAATTGGCACATCCCTTTAAAAATGAATAACAACAGAAAATACAACTCCTGGGAAAAAAGGTGCTGATTCTATAAGATTATTTATATATGTAAGTGTTTAAAAAGATTATTTTCCAGAAAGTTTGTGCAGGGTTTAAGTTGCTACTATTCAATTACACAATATATAAATATAATATATACAATATATACATCGTTTTCACTGTATCACATTAAAGTACTTGGGCTTCAGAAGTAAGAGCCAACCAACTGAAAACGTGAGATGGAGATACACTAAAAGAATGAAATACAATTTTTAGTTTTCAGTTTGTCTCTCAGCATCACAAAAGAACAAGTATTTCACAAATAGAAAAAAAAATTTTGAAAAATTAAAATGTAGATCTAAAAGAACTGCACGGGCTTTAGGGTAAATACTCATCTTAAAATCTTGCTTGAGGAAGGTTTTTCAAGTGTCAAGCAAGACCATTTACTTAATGTGAAGTTTTGGAAAGTTTTTAAGGTGTATGTTTTAGCCATATGATTTCAATTTTTATTTTGCTTCTTTTAGGTTTGTTCTTATTTAAAGCAATATGATTGTGTGACTCCTTGTAGTTACACTCGTGTTTCAATCAGATCAGATTGTTGTATTTATTCCACTATTTTGCATTTAAATGATAACATAAAAGATATAAAAAATTTAAAACTGCTATTTTTCTTATAGAAGAGAAAATGGGTGTTGGTGATTGTATTTTAATTATTTAAGCGTCTCTGTTTACCTGCCTAGGAAAACATTTTATGGCAGTCTTATGTGCAAAGATCGTAAAAGGACAAAAAAATTTAAACTGCTTATAATAATCCAGGAGTTGCATTATAGCCAGTAGTAAAAATAATAATAATGATAATAATAATAATAATAATAATAAAACCATGTCTATAGCTGTAGATGGGCTTCACATCTGTAAAGCAATCAATTGTATATTTTTGTGATGTGTACCATACTCTGTGCTCCAGCAAATGTCCATTTGTGTAAATGTATTTATTTTATATTGTATATATTGTTAAATGCAAAAAGGAGATATGATTCTGTAACTCCAATCAGTTCAGATGTGTAACTCAAATTATTATGCCTTTCAGGATGATGGTAGAGCAATATTAAACAAGCTTCCACTTTTGACTGCTCTTTTGTATTTTGTTTCTTTTTTCCCCTCACTACAGAACAAAATCAATAAACACTGCCCTTTGTTGCTTCCATTCAAAGAGTTTCTCTGAGTACCTGTTCCCAAAAAATAAAGTAGGAGTTTAAATAAGAGCTATATAAAGGCTTGTCAGAATGAATTCTAGGGTGCCAAGAGACATTTTGCATATTTAAGAGTATGCAAAGTGTCTCATGGCACATTAGAATTCATTCTGACAAGCCTTTATATAGCTCTTATTTAATCTTAAAGCATCTCCACATCATCCTGCATTACTCGAAATCATTGCCTCTATGTCAATGTCATAACAGAAAACTTTCCCCCTATTTTAAGATCATATTAAGACCTGCTAGAGATACCTATTATTTCCCTCTATCAACAATTAAATCAGGTGCCTGCGTTTGCACGGGAGCTCCTCAGCCAGCTGCAGGCTTTGTGGAGCAATGCTGGAGTTACTGACCAGCTTTCCTGAATGGGAAGCCCGCAGCGGAGCTTATACAGGTTGGTGTGAATTGAGGAAGGGGGGAAGCTGTCTTTAGAGTCAAGAGGGGTAAACAGCCCTGCTGACAGCAAATGGCTTCCCCTTGCCTTTTACACTCAGAGAGGTTACAGCCCTGGCTGCTCAGGGTCAAGTTGCAGCTTCCACTGGAGCCTCCTGGAGCCATCACCGAAGTGCTAATATGTGCTTTCTTGGCTTCTCTGCAATCTTGAGAGCGTTTTGTCATTGTGTTTGCCCACCGTATTTCTCACCTTTCAGAGGTGGCTGGTTCTCTAGAGGGACAGCTGATGACACAAAGGCCACTCTGCTGCCACGGTTATAGGAGCATGAGATTACCTAAATCACTCCATGGGCTCACTAGCCAGATAGCTCAGTCTTTTCCTGTTTTAATGTTCTTTGGGTGGCCACTGCTCAACATAGAATCTGATGTGTTTTACTTTTGGTATTTTCAGAGTATTTGGGTGGAACTGAAACAGTGTGAGATACAAACCTAACAAGAAAACTTGCATCTGCAATCTAATGAGATCCTCATTTAAAAATCACACACACACACACACACACACACACACACACACACTTTTAAGGAGTCAGATATCATAATTCTCTTGCTTTTTTATAATTTGGAATTATTATAAGAACTTTTTTGGTACTGACATTCATCATGAATGCCTCCAGTGTAATAGAAAATAAAAGGAAGACTGTGACATTTTTGTGCCTTTTTTTCCCCATATAAACAAGTAGCTCTGACAAATGGATTACTTATTTTTAGAAATCACTTTTATTTTCACCAGTTGTTTATATGTTATTTTTTTTTAAATCAGTGGTTCCCAAGGTAGTCTAGATAATGAAACAATCTAGGGACTCTTAAAAATTCTTGATCCTCAATATCTTACCCACAAGGATGGTGGTTTCATTGGTCTGAGATGTGGGCTTTGGAATGTTTGGAAAATTTCTTCAAGTAATTCTAATGTGAAAGACAAAATGAGAAACGATTGCTTTACTTTTTTCTTTGTGTGTGTGTGTGTGTGTGTGTGTGTGTGTGTTGGGGGGATACCCAGGGATTGAACTCAGGGACACTTGATCACTGAGTCACATCCCCAGCTCTATTTTGTATTTTATTTAGAGACAAGGTCTCACTGAGTTGCTTAGAACATGGCTTTTTGCTGAGACTGGCTTTGAACTTGCAATCCTCCTACCTTAGCCTCCTGAGCCTCTGGGATTCTAAGTATGCACTATTGCACCCGGCCTTGCTTTACCTTTTATACCTTTCTCAAGCCACAAGTTTTTTGTTTTGTTTTTAATAATTTTCATACATTTACTTTAAAGTTTTGATAGAATTTCTTCTCTTTTTCTTTTTTTTTTGGGGGGTGGGGGTGGGGGCGGTTACCTGGAATTGAACTCAAGGGCTCTTGACCACACCCCTAGCCCTATTTTTTGTATTTTATTTAAAGACAAGGTCTCAGTTATTTAGGGCCTTGATTTTTTGGCTAAGGCTGGCCTTGAACTAGCAGTCCTCTGAGCCACTGGGATTACAGGAGTGCACCACCATGCCCAGACTACAATTTCTTTTAAATCAAGACAAAAAGATAATTTTTAAAAAATAATTCAGAAAGCCAATAAAATCTATTTCCAATGTTTTAAGCTTCCCTTTCTCCACTGCTACTTCTGCCCTTCCCATGGCCATTCTTCCCCCAAACACACAGAGAACACATTTTATTTGATGACTCTTAAGCCACATCTTCTGATGATAAAAATATATAAAAATGGAGATAGCTGCTCAAAAGTTTGTATGCAGAATATCTCACATTTTTTTTATTTTTAAAACCTCATTTTGGATTTTAAAGCACTTTAAATTTAATTTGAATGTGGTTCAAAATACCTATTTTTTCCCCTACTGAAAAACAAAGAACAATATATTTAGAAATTTTGATTTCTTGGAGTAACTTCTCTTAGCTATATTTTCTAAGTTATTGACTTTTTTGGGACTGCAAAAACTTTAGGTACCCTTTGGTTATTTAAAAATTCAATCTATGATTAACCTATGAAAGAAAAAAAAAGATAACACTTAAGAGTTTTTGTTTCATTCACAATGGTTTACAAAGCGAATGGCTATGTCCATAGTCCCATAGGTAGGGAGTATTTATGTTGATGTGCCTGGCCCCCTCCAATCTCTTAAGTCTAGCTTCCATGCCCCTTGGTAGTGTGGAGAAAACAAAACGAAACAAGTAGTGGTAGATTGATTGTGTAGTGCATCTTATTATAAAACAAAATAGAAAAGAAAGGAATTTCAAAATATAATCCTCCTTTCCCAGGAGTATTTATCTTGTTCTCCATGAAGTTAAAGGTCTGAAATAATGTGCCCATCAGGGGCTCAATGTTGCATGTCCATGCCAGTTGGTCCAAGGGCTTGTTATGATGGTAATGACCTCCTGAAACGTGAGCTTGGATTGCAACAATACAGTTGCTACCAGCTCACCCGCTGGGAGAAATATTTTATTATTGTCAAATATCCTCCATAGAGATTTGTTTTGCCTGTTCCTGTTTAAATTAAATTCAAAGCAGAACTGCATTACTATTTCTCTGGAGTATATTTCAGATAAACAACTAGTCTCAAAATTTAGGATTCCTGACTAGTTCAAATTTGTTTATTACCAGAAAAATTACAATAGGTGACACCATAGCTGCAGGAATATTAAGATTGCAGCCACACGAGGGATTTACATACTGAGTCCATGGCCTAAAAGCAAGTACTCTCTTTTTCATTACAGATGCCAGCCAGATTAATTAACTGTTTCATCAGTTGTGCAAACTTAACAAAAAGGTGTTTGTAAGTGGGGGAGTCAATAAACTAATGAATTGCCGTAACTGTTAACAGAATTGGGGATGTGGAAAAAAAAACTTAGTACCAAGTCAGAAATGTTTTTATCTCTAAAAATCATAAACCAAATGTGCATGTTAAAAAAAATTCTTTTAACAGCAGCAGAGTAGATAGTAAAAAAAGTCCATAGCATGAATGAAAATAGTATTTGAGCATAATTTTGAAATACAGTTTTAAAGAATAATTGAAAAAATGTGTTGGATTCTTTGGAATTATTTGAATAATTTTTCCAGAGGCTCTATATTGCACCTTTGACAAAGAAATCTGGAATAGTGAAACTTTAGTCAATACAAATTTTGTTGCAAGCAATCAAATTAGAACTGAAACTTATTCTATCAAAAAGGAAAAGAAGAAGAGGGTTAAAAAAAAAAAAAAACCCTCTTACCTTTAATAAAAATACTGGTGGCTGTGTGTCTCCTAAAGGGCCAAACTTTGTAGAACTCTTTTAGGAAATGCAAGCAAATTTAGGTGGAATGGTACAAGAGCCTAACAAGAAAACAAACATTTCAGATTGGCAGAAACATTAAACCACATTATTCACAGTCCAATCTGCCATGCTTTGTGGAATTTCACAGTATTTTTGGGAACTGCTTATTAAAACAACACAAAAACACTGAAGTCAAAAGAGCAATTTCCAAAATGAGGTCTGTGGCACATAAAAGTTGGCTTTTTCCATTAAAATATGTGATTTTATATCACAAATGGAAAACACTAATGGTTAATGTGAAAAAGTTGTTGTGTAAATGCTTTTAAAATAATCTGAGTTCTTTATCTCTGCAACAGTTATATCTTGTCTCATTTTTCCTTTTGTGAACAAAATGAATGGAAGAGTCCTAATCTATCAACTTTATTCATGTTTATAAATCACAAAAAGATAGCCTGTAAATTTTTCAGTGTACATGTAGGAAAATAAACTCTCCCCAGAAACAGGTAGGTAATTGACAGTGATTTCTGGGATGGATAATGAGTAAATAGATGTTTAGGTATGAGGATATTTTTACACATAGAAAATTCTGTGGTACATGACTTGATTTGATTTAGTAAGATTTGGTGGTGCTCCAACAGATGGAGCCAAGTGATACAGAGAAACCATGTACCACATTGGTTACACATGAGAATGTATAAAAAGAATGAAGAATGTGACTCTTCACTATGGGTTCAAATCCCAGCTCAGCCACTAGGCAGTTGTGTGACATTATTACTAAATAAGTTTATCCTGCTTAGATAAACAGTAGCAAATATACTATCAAAGAATTGCTATTAAGACAAAATTAAATGACTGGAGAAATAGCTTCTGCCTAATAAAAAAATTAAATAGGTTGAAAAAATTTTTTTTAAATTTCCAACAGGCTAATTAAGATAATCAAATTGAATTTAGGATAAAAAGCTGTTTGAAAATTGAGAAATGTAGATATTTGTGGTCTACATGTGTGATGGAGTACTTTGAGGAGGTTTCTTTGCACAGCACTGAAGTACTGCAGAGTTGGGGTTGCCTGGACCATGTGCAGTGCAGGCTTCGCCAGAAGCCAGACATGTTCTAACTGCATGCTGGGTATTATGCTAACTTCTTTGAATGCTTTATAAAATTTAATATTCCTGGTAGC